TTTTACACACTTTTTGATGTAAGGTTGCGATGCATTAAGACTTTTTAGATGACTTATAAATTCTAATCTCACTTCAAATGGGTCCATGATGAAAAATGCAATATTTATTTACGTGGGCGAAATGGTTTATTACTATTATTATTATTTTTTATTATAATTTTTAATGCTTTAATAGATTAATAGATTATTTGAGAGAAGTTGTTTATTTTTTATATGAATATATATATATATATATATAGTTAAAAAAAGAAGATATATTTATGAACCAGGTTAGCCAAGGTAATTTTTATTAATCATTCCAAATTCCTCCTATAATAATCTTATTATTAGCTAGCTGATAGTATTAATAATAATAATTATTATTCTACTTTATAACTCAAATGAATGCCCGTGATATATTTATTATCCTGATTAATTAATAGAAAGAAAAAAAAATCTCTTTAGAAGAAAAAAATTAATATATTTTATATTATGTATTAAAATCATTAAAAAATTATCAATATTAATTATTGATTTTGAAAACTTACCTTTGTATTTATATATATGTATACTAAATCTAAAATGCTTACTAATAAAAGAAAATTTTTAAAGGTAAAAAAATAATCCTTGAGTAAAAAGTAATGCGTGACAAATATGGTTGATTGTAACACATTGTATTAGCATGGTGCATAGAATTCAGACGATATTCACGTGACCAATACATGTGAAGAATTTTTTATTGGTCAAAATACAGAAATTGTTGTTAGTCAAACCTCACCTTGCCACAACGAATTTTTTTTTATTAAAACGGATTTAAATACAGCCCCAGTTTTTTTAATCTCACCACAGTGGATTGGTTATAATCGTGAACATTAATATTTATCATCACAAAAAATATCAGCAAAATTATAAACATTCTAATTTGAATTAGCAATTCATATATATTGTTTAAATGTATAGTTTGCTTAATATTAATAAACATGATTAATTCAATTTTTTCTTAATGTAATGCCAGTCATTTGATTTTTAATACAATCTTCATTGTTTTAATAAGTATTGTGAGATTGAATCCACATCTCACAGTGAATCTCAATATTTTATTTATTTAAATGCCAACAGTGTTAATACAATTTCTTCCAATTTATTTATATCTAAATCATAACAACAACTTCCACAAATGTATATTTATGCTTTACTCTCAAAACTATTTTTCACCATCATAAACAATTCTTTGAAGTTGAGAAACTACAACGTTATTTATACATGTTAAAGATTCTATCATCTAATTCTCCGATTTCTTTGAAGTCCTAATTAAATGTATTACTTGAGCCATCTGTGTAGAATTATTTTCTAAAGTGATCCAATCATTTAAATTCCTTTGTTTAATTAAATCTAAGAATTAAAAGTCTGTTATATTTAGAATGTTAGAATATTTATTCTCCATCATTTTAGATATTCTCATTTTTATTTGCATGCAACTTTCCAGATTTATTTATTGA